ATGAGTCCAAAGGTATCTATGGATCCCTTTATTTATTTATTTATTTTTGTGCAAGTATCTATGGAGTTCACATTGGTAAAGTTTTGATTATGAATAGACGTGAAAGATAAAGATTACAGTGATCCTTTTCCTTTGGCTTGTTCCGTAATGTTGGAGAAAGATTAAAAAGGAAAGGGAGAATAAGAACAACTTGGTTCAGGTGATTTATTCTGTTTATATGAGTGACTAAATGCACCTACTTGGTTCAAATGATCTGTTCAGTTTTCATAAATGGCTATAATAACTAACATTTACTGGCAAGGGTTACTTGAAAACTTGAGAATATTTAATATGTGTATGGTCCCTCCCTGCTCAATTTTGGGAGTTACGCTATAATTTTAGTACTAGTGGTTAGACTCATCAATTTGGAATTGTCTTTGGCTTCATTCCGAGACTGTTTTCTTCCATGCTCTTTAATTGATGGACTAATAATTTTCTTCATGTATCTATTTGCATGTATGAGTTTTTTAGTAATCTGAGATAGTTCTTGTGCAATTATCCATACCATATTATCTTTATATTAAACATTCGATACATAATTTGATGAAAAATACAGATAGCTTCTCTCTAAAGTAGCCTTATTTCCACATTTTACACACACTTTAGCACTACTAATATTTTGGTAGGCCCTATGGCTTTTCAGATACCTTTTGGTTTTGGGCTTTTCTGATGTCAAAATCCTCCTTTACTTGTCTAGCATTGCCTTAATTTTACCACAGATGCCTTAATTTGCTTCCAGTTACACTGGAAGTATGTTCCTCTCACTCGTAAAAGCATGTGCCCTGTGCCTATGTGAATCAATGAAGTGGCGTACAATGGGTCTACCATGAAAGCCTGATTCTCCAGGTTCCCCCATTACTGTCCAACAAAACCATCGTAGCAATTCACTTGCTGAAAGCATGATAAACACTATATAGAGAACCGACATAACAGAGTCTGGGAACAAAGTTGATGCTAGAGATGTCAATGACAAAAACCAAACAATGTCATAACCTGTGGCATAGATTGGAGAAGAAAATCTCAGTTCTGCTTCGGACAAGATGCAATATAAGAGCAAACTAGTAATGGCAACCCCCAAGGTTTTGGGGTAGGTTTCGAATGGAGTTTTGTTTTTTCCTTGACACTTCAACTGCTGGAGGTTGATGATCACCAGAACAATAAATATGAGAATTGCATGGCGNTCGTTTTTATCTTGACACTTCAACTGCCGGAGGTTGATGATCACCGGAACAATAAATATGAGAATTGCATGGCGTGAAGGAGAAGTAGTACGCTGTTCTTTCGACAATTTGAATCTCATATCAATAGGGGCAGAATTAAATTGTCCTAAAAAGTTTGTCTACCCCCAGTGAAAGAAGGTTGTTCTTCCTGTTTCGGCCATTAATAAATACCACTCCCCGTAGAAGACACAAAAAATTTGAGTTCCAACAGGAAAACAAATCACATTGAGTACATATGAGACTAAGAAATGGAGAAAGTAGATGAGATTGTTGCAATTTTATGCCCCCCTCCCCTCTATATAAGAGTACAAAAGTACATGACTACGTATGGATGATGCATGTGTGCATGGTTTATTCGCCCTACATTGCCCTACAAATATATACGTGTCGCATTATTTCATATGCAATGTAGATTTATAGTGGGTCCTATTGCATTGCGGAATTGTAGACTTTTATATGCAATGCGGACTTGTAATGGGTTCTATTGCAGGTCTAATTGCAATCACTTTCATATGCAATGCGAATTTACAGTGGATCCCATTGCATTGCGGAATTGTAGACTTTCATATGCAATGCGGACTTGTAATGGGTTCCATTGCAGTTCTAATTGCAATCACTTTCATATGCAATGCGGATTTACAGTGAGTCCCATTGCAGTTCTAATTGCAGTCACTTTCATATGCAATGCGGACTTGTAATGGGTTTCATTGCAGTTCTAATTGCAGTCACTTTCATATGCAATACAGATTTACAGTGAGTCCCATTGCATTGTGTAATTGTAGACTTTCATATGCAATGCGGGGTTGTAATGAGTTCCCTTGCTGCTCTAATTGCAGTCACTTTTATATGCAATGATCCAATTGCAGTGACTTTCAAAAAAAAATTATGGTTATCTCAATTTTAAGGGATAACTGAAATAGTAATAGGGACAAACTATTAACCTAGACGTTCTGAATTTAAATTTTAATTATTTTTTGGATCAAATGATAAAAAATTTATCATTTATGAATATCTTAATTACAGTGTGAATGACCTACTTTTGAGTATGCCAAACAACAAATTAGTTGAGATATACAAAAAATGGCCGGCAAACCAAAAAATAAAAAAACCCAGAAGTGACCACATGCCTTGGATAGTGTCTTTAATTAAATATTTTTTACTTGTGCAACCTATGAATTTCTTATCACTTCAATTGTTTTTTATTGTATAAAAGCTTTCTACAAGTGACCTTGATATTTATAATTATAATTTTTATTTTTATTTTTTTAATTCAAAAGAGAAAATACTTGCAATTAACCTTCAAGAATTTTATTTTTTTTGCAATAACTTGTCTCTATTTTTGTCTGACAATTGATTGTAATGTTTATTATGTGTCAACGGTGTTTAAATTTTTTATTATGTTTAGTTTTTAGATTCTTGTTTAAGTGTCTTTACTATTCATTAAATTTAATGGATGATTGGTTAATAATTGATTACATAGCTTTTTAGTTACACAATAATAACTAACCTCACATTTATACAATAGTGATGATTAGTCATCTTTATACACACACACACACACAAAATATACACTTATTCTTAACCCCTTTATTATGAATGAAATTCATGTATCAAATATGATATGGTAAAAATAAATGTATTATTTTATTATGATTGGTTAAGAAAAAAAAAATCAGAGGATGTAAGTTAGATGTCCACCCTAAAGAAAAAAACTTGACTTCCCCCTGATTTTAGGTGTACATTTTTTTTGACAATTTATAATATTTTATATGTGAATGTACAATATTTTGTATATAATGTGTACTATTTAACGATGCCAACTGATAACTGCCAAGCACTTAATATTTTCTCGTTTCCTCTAATCTTGTGTCGAAATTGAGATAGAGGACTGTGATTGAGAGGTTGTGAGAGTCAAGTCTAATCCACTCAAAAACATCATATTCTTTGCACGACTTTTAATATAAAACAACTCAACCAATAGATTCTTCATTAATAGAAAACACAACTACACTATGAATTTAAGTGAGATCTATTATATTTAAATGGGTACCTTACTCATACATTAATGATAAGCATTTTTTTGTCAAAAAGAAAATTAGAGAAAACAAAGTATTAAAGGGCATCTTGGTTTGTCATTGGCTCTGACAATCATGGGAACTTTCCAAGAAGTGCAAAAAAAACTCAGAGGTAAGCAAGTAGGGGTGTCAAAATTTGACACGACACGATTAACAGACACGAATCGACATGAATTAAGCGGGTTTGAGTGAGATATTAACGGGTTTGGGTGATAAACAGGTTGACACATTAAACACGTTTAATAAACGGGTCGTGTTTGAGTGAGATTTATTAAACTGTTTATCACACGTTTGTCCGTTTAAATAAAATTAATATAATAATAAATTAATAATTATTTTAAAAATTAGCAAGAAAAAAAAGTAAAGAAATCAATAAAAAAAAATTAAAATAGTAGTTCAAAGATAAAAGAGAGGAGATGAGGAGTACCTCAAATACAAAGGCAAACCAGTGTCTTTTGTTTTTGTCCCACACTAGAAAATGAGGGGAGATGGGGAGGGTTGAGTTGCTTATAAAAAACAATGACCTCTTGCTTTTTTTTTTTTAAACCTTCAAGTCTTATTTTTATGAAATTTGACTAAAATTTTTTTTTTTTGAGGTAAGTGCAATTGACAATAAAAAAATGGAGTATTAAAATTGTTAATATATATTTTTTAAATTAAACAGGTTAAACGAGTCGTGTCGTGTTACCCGTTTATTAAACGGGTTGTATTCGTGTTGAGATTTTTTACCTGTTTATTAATGTGTCGTGTGCGGGTTTATATATTTTCTACCCGTCAATCGTTTAACCCAACACGTTTGACACCCCTAAAAGCAAAACCATTACTTATTCTTGGGTGCCGTAATTTGACCCATAATTTACAAGAAGAGATTCCTAAGCTCAAATGTAGACATTTTAAATGAGTGGGAAAGTAGAAATTTGGGTTAATTGTATTGGGGGGTCTTAAAGTATGGGGTTTATCTCATTTTGGTCTCTAATATTTCAATTGTATTATTTTAATTCATGAAGTATTAAATATATTTATATGTAGTCCCTCAAACAGATAGCGTCCACATTGTTAATAATGTTTTATTATAAATTTATTACGTGATACTTAAATATGGGTCAAAAAATAATTTAGATAACTCTTGACCAAATTTATATGCAATTTGGTCTCATTGAAGATAAGCTTATATAAAAGAGTTGTGGATGAAGTTTGTCCTCAAATATATTATGGACAATTTAGTAAAATTGTATTCTAATTAATATTTTTAACTTGATAAGGCGTGTTAATGAAAATTTAGAAAATAGAGAGGGTGTTCTTGAAAATATGATAAACTAGAAGAGTGTGATTGAAATTTTTCCTTATTTTTATCACTAGTTGACAAGTTCAATTCATCTTTACGTATTTATTTGAGGAATCTAAATAACAATTCCATTATTTTCCTTGATCTTTTCGAAAAAAGCTCATGTCCCACTTTGCTTAGTTTCTTTTTTTTTTTGGTATTCACTTTGCTTAGTCTCTTTTATGCCAAGTTTTTACCAGATGGGAGCACTCAAGAAATTATTTGAAGAGGGTAAAATAAAATATATCGATCTATCTAAAGCTTCACCTGATACAATCAGAAGGGCGCATGCTGTTCATCCAATAACAGCTATACAACTTGAATGATCCTTATGAACTGGAGATGCAAAGGAAGAGGTCATTCCCACTTGCAGGTGAGACATTTTGCTTGTGCTAAATGCTAACTATTATGTTTAGGAAGTGATGAGCATTTCAAATTGCTAAATTCATTAGTCTTATAACTTTTCAGAGAACTTGCCATTGGGATCGTTCCATTTAGTCCTTTAGGAAAGGGTTTCTTCACTTCAGGTCCACAGATGGTTGAGAAATTGCCTGAAAATGACTTCAGAAAGGTAAATAGATCTGACAAAATCGTCTCTTCAACATTATTTTGTGGTTAATTAACATCATAGGGGCATTGATCTTTGTGGTCGTCTCTTTATGGTTTCCTATACAAAGTTTCTTTTTCTGCCTTAAAAAATGATTCATTGAAACAATGAGTCACCACTGTAGTTTTATGCTGAATTGTCTTACCATTTTTTGTAGACTATGCCAAGGTTCCAACCAGAGAATGTCGAGCATAACAAAAAGTTGTAGGAGCAAATTAATGCAATAGCAACAAGGAAAGGATGCACTGTATCACAGCTAGCATTGGCCTGGGTCCATCAACAAGGGGACGATGTTTCTCCCATACCCGGCACCACCAAGTTTGGAAATTTCAACCAGAATGTTGGAGCTTTATCTGTAAAACTAGCACCTGATGAAATGGCTGAGCTTGAATCTATTGCTATAGTTGATGCAGTAAAGGGTGATAGGTATTCATCTCCACACATGGCTCTCACTGGAGATTTGCAAACACTCCACCTCTGTCCTCTTGGAAAGTTGAATGAGGATGATCTTCTTGGTACCCGCCAATAATGCCTTACTACTTTTAATGAAATTCTATGTGCTTGTGTGCCTTGAGAATGTTATAATTCTGAGATTGCTTCCTAAGTTAGAACTATGTTATTTTGATGAATAAAGATGAGCCACTTATTGCTTTTTTCATCTTGCCCAATTAGTAAATTTGATTGTTCGTACTATCTTTTATTCATCTCCATGAATTTATTTTCCCAAAGATCTTGTTACGTCTCACAATTCTCTTAAAGAAACCAACCTTAACAGATATTAGTAGAAAAACAATGTTTTACATTCTATTCAACATAGAAGTCTATCTTATGGAAATTGCATTAGAAAATGATTCATCTTGTATAAAATGAATTTCGATTGTAAACTTAGTTATGTTTTAAACCTCTCCTATTTGAAAAGTTAGATTCATGAGGGTTGTGCGCTATTAGAGATAAAGATTAAAGACAAGGATGAGGATTAACCAACTCCATCCCATCTCATCCAACTTTCCAAGCTTTGTGCTCATCTTCATATTTCTGTCATTTTATAAATGTATCAGTAAGTGTAGATTGAATGACTCTTTGGTCCAATAGTACTCCTTATCTTATAAAGACTTTGTCTTCTTAAGGTCAAGGTTCAAGTCCCCATTCCCCTCCCCTCCCCCCCAAAAAAAAAAATTGGAAAAAAAAAATGTGAGAGGAAATATACAGATTTTCAAGTACTTTCATGGTATCAGAGCAAAGTTCTTGACTTTGTTAAAAAGCAATTCTTTTTCGTAACTCTGTTTTCTTAATCATGTCAGCTTCCTCCACTAACACCCAAACCAACACTTCCTCAAACTACCCCTGCCTTCCTTATTTTTCCTCTGATGCTGCTCATACCACCACCCTCACCACAAAACTTGATGAAACTAACTACCTTTTTTGGATATCTCAAATCATGTCGCATCTTCGTGGTCACCAAGTGCTCAGCTATGTTGATGGCTCTATCCTTTCTCCACCAGAACAAATCCAGACTGGTTCTACTATGATGATCAATCCTGATTTTGTCACTTGGCAATGCCAAGATCAACTTCTACTTGGCTGGCTCCTGTCTTCCTTAACCGAGGATGTCATGCCCAGGTCATTGGCCTCCTTACCTCTCATGTTGTTTGGACAGCACTTATCGCCTCTTATGTGGCTCATTCACGAGCATGGATCCTCTAGCTTCGTATGCAACTACAGGCCACAAAAAGGGCCTGGATTCCATTCACAAATATTTTTATAAGGCAAAGAAAATTGCTCATCAACTTGCCGTGGCTGATCATTCGGTTTAAGGCCGCGACACGTGCAGATTCTGTCTCTCACTGATTTATTGTGTCATCTTCTTTCTGATGAATTTCGTATTGCCTATGATATCGTCACTTCCGACATTGCTTTAGTAGCCCATTTGTCTCACCGTAACACCTTTTTTTCTACTGCTCAAGACTTTAAGCACTCACAACAGTATCGTGGTAATTGTAGTTGCCATGGTGATCGTGGCTTTGGACAACACAACAACAGTGGTTCCCACAATGGCCAATTTTCTAGATCTAGTGGTGGTCGCGGCCTTAATCGCAATTCTCACAGTAACAATAATTCTAGTTCTGCTCCCAGTAATTGCAATCTCTCTGCCAAACCTGTTTGTCAGGTCTGCAACCCTGTTGGCCATGTTGTACTCCAATGCCACAATCAATTCAATGAGGCTTTTCAATACATTGATCTGCATGTTGCATCTCACGCACATAATGCGGCCTCGGACATCTGATATCCTGATTCTGGAGCTACCCATCACCTCACCTCTGATTTCTCTGATCTAGATTTGTTCTCTGACTACACTAGGCTCTTCTTCATTTAGGACTCCAACCTCGTCCTTTCTTTTAAAAAATATTCTCCNATCTAGATTTGTTCTCTGACTACACTAGCAATGCCACCATCCATATTGGTAATGGGGGCAAGTTTGAAATTCACCACACAGGCTCTTCTTCATTTAGGACTCCAACCTCGTCCTTTCTTTTAAAAAATATTCTCCATGTTCCCCGTGTCAAAGACAATCTTCTCTCCATGCACAAATCTTCCCACGATAATAATTGTTGGTTTGAGTTTCACCCATTTTATTTCTGTGTTAAGGACATCCACACAGGGAAGGTTCTACTTCGCGGGCCGAGCTCTAATGGCCTCTACCAACTTCGGCTTCCTAATATTTCAAATAAAGTCATCTTGTTTTATGATGCAACTGATCGATTGCACCAATGCATAGGGCATCCGACACTTCGCACGGTTCAAAACATCTTGACAACAATTGGCATTCTTTTTGGCTCCACTAAATCCCACCCGGTTTGTGGTGCCTGTCCCTTTATGGAGAAAGTGTTTAACAAAACACCTGATTACAATTTTTTCAAGGCCTTTGGATGTGCTTGATATCCTTGTCTTTGGCCCTATCCCGAATACAAGTTTGATTATCGCTCTACTCGGTGTGTTTTTCTCATATATAGTCTTCAACGTCATGGATATCAGTGCCTCAACCAGCTGCGACAAAAATATATATATATAGCTCCTAATGTGATTTTTGATGAATCTACGTTCCCTTTTGTAGCTTCTCTATCTAGCCGATCTCACCCACCACCATCCTCAACTGTTTTGCGGTCTCCTTTGCCTTTGGTTCGCCCGCATCAAACCACTTCTGCTACAATCAGTCCCTCTCAGCCCAAGGCAACATCGCCCCTGCATGCTGCCCCGCCAGACACCACAACAATGCAACCTTCTAATCTGCCCCATCTCTCCATCCGCCTGTTCCAACCATTGTCCCAGTCGGACCTATTCTAGCCACAATTCCTGCCACATCTGTTCCCACTCACCCAATGGTAACTTGCTCCTATGTTGGTACCCGACGTCCCAAAGTGCTAAATATTGCCACCAAGCACCCTTTTCCACAGTGTTATGTCACTCTGTTGACTTAGACAATAATCCCACTTACGTCACCACGGCTGCCCGTGATCTGCTTTGGCGAGCAGCTATGGCAACGGTGTTAATGCCTTGATTTAGAATGGAACCTGGACACTACAGTCTCCCCCACCGAATGCCAACATTGTGGGCTGCAAATGGATATTTCACTTCAAACGCAAGGCTGATGGCATAATCGAACGCTATAAAGCACACCTCATAGCCAAAGGCTTCAATCAACACATGGGTAATGACTACACCAACACCTTTAGCCCCGTCGTTAAACCGGTGACCATCCGCGCTATCTTAAGTTTGGCCACTAGTCGTGATTGGTCTATTCGCCAGCTCAACATTCAAACTGCATTTCTTTATGGCACTCTTGATGAAGTTGTCTATATGAAACAACCTCCTAGATTCATCAACTGTCAATATCCCAAACATATGTGTCGCTTGCGGAAGTCCCTTTATGGTCTCAAGCAAGTATCCCGTGCTTGGATCGGCTGCTTGAGCACTTTTCTCATTGGTCAAGGTTTCATCGCATCTAAAATAGATTCGTCACTATTTATTAGAGTTACATCTTGCTCGACCTNAGCAAGTATCCCGTGCTTGGATCGGCTGCTTGAGCACTTTTCTCATTGGTCAAGGTTTCATCGCATCTAAAATAGATTCGTCACTATTTATTAGAGTTACATCTTGCTCGACCTTGCATTTGCTAATTTACGTGGATGACTTCATTATCACTGGAAGCTCCCCCATGTACATCCGATCTTTCATTCACAAACTTGGAAAAGAATTTGTCATCGAATACTTAGGTCCTCTACATTTTTTCTTGGTCATTGAGGTTATCCACACTNCTTGGAAAAGAATTTGTCATCGAATACTTAGGTCCTCTACATTTTTTCTTGGTCATTGAGGTTATCCACACTTCAAATAGGCTTCTTCTCAATCAAATCCAATATATTGTTGATCTCCTCAAATGAGCTCACATGAACGGGGCACAATCACATTTCCAATCCATTCTCGCCCACTACCAAGCTTCATCTCCATGGCAATGATCAATTTTCTGATGGAACCCAATATCGCAGCCTTTTTAGCACCCTTCAACACATCACCATCACGCGGCCGGATCTTTCTTACTCTGTTAATAAAGTTTGCCAATACATGCACAAACCAACCAATGCCCACTGGACAGTTGTAAAATAATCTACAATTGGTTATGCCATCTTCTTTGGTCCAAGTGTTGTCTCTTGGTCTGCTTGCATACAATCCGTCGTCGCTCTCTATCACCGAAGCAGAATATCGGGCTCTCTCCAACGCTATTGTTGAAATTTTTTTGTTATAAGCTTTACTTCAAGAACTTCATGTTCCACAGCCTACACTCCTCCGCCTTATGGTATGACAATGTCGGTGCCACTTTCCTAACCATTAATCTAATCTTCAATAATCGCGTGAAGCATATTGAAATAGCATTTCACTTCATTTGTGATAATGTGGCAAAGGGCAATCGCCAAGTCAATTTTTTGTCAATCAAGGACCAAGTAGCTGATATCTTTACTAAATCGCTTCCTACACCACGTTTCCAATTCCTTCGTTTAGTTCTTGGCACACTTCACTTGCAAGGGCGTATTAGAGATAAAGATTAAAGATAAGGATGAGGATCAACCAACTCCATTGATCCTACCTCTCTGTGATTCTCCAAAGTTGTGATAGAATAAAATCCAACCTTCCAAGCTTTGTACTCATCTTTATATTTATGTCATTCTATAAATGTATCAATAAGTGTAGATTGAATGTGAGAGGAAATATACTGATTTTTCAAGTTCTTTCATGCGCACACCCANAATGTATCAATAAGTGTAGATTGAATGTGAGAGGAAATATACTGATTTTTCAAGTTCTTTCATGCGCACACCCATCCATAAGTTTTTAGCATTTTCGTATGAGAAGATTAATGGGTTGTACTGAAGCTGATTTGCATCAATAATTTAGTACTAATGACTAATGATGGATCCAAAGGGGCAGTTGGAAGGGTGATCAACGCTCAAAAGGTTTGGAAAATCCTCTCNCTAATGACTAATGATGGATCCAAAGGGGCAGTTGGAAGGGTGATCAACGCTCAAAAGGTTTGGAAAATCCTCTCGCATGGTATCATTCAATGGAATACACAAACTTTAGGGTCATCTTTATTTTGATTTTCCAAAAAAATGTGTCTATCCCCTAGACTAAGTTTTTTGGTTCCACCTCTGTTTGATGATACGCCGGAGGATGACATTTGTGAAGTTTGTAACTCTTGGGGTGAGAGTGAAAATCGGTGGTGCAATAAACAACACCACTACAAGAAAAGCACGTGATATTTTATACATGAATGTGCAACATTCAAAGTGTTTTATGGCTTAAAGCATCTTTAGAGCACCAATGTCTAAGAGGTGGTGATCTCTTGTACCTCAGTAGGTGTTAAACATAGAAGAAAGATCTTTGGCATAGCTTCATGTCTTTTTACCATCAGCTTACTTAGAACTTAAACCAGATCATCTAAGGACATGACTGGAAATCTATTTGATGTCCAACTAAAACATGTATCTATAGAGCAAAGATCAAAATTTAATCTTTTTTTAATCGAAACAATATAAACGTTTATGTTTTTCTAGAAATTGAATGAATCATTGAAATTTCTATGTTTCAAGATATTTGAAATTTTTGTTGTTGTTTCAAACTAATATTTTAAAAATAATTTTTATTTTTTTTTCAGTTTCTATTCGGCTCATGAAATCTTCTAGAAACATTTTTGATTTCAAGCTAACTAAAACAGAACACTAAACTAAAATTTTAATCCTTGCTTTGGTGGGCATTTGGCTTGGGTGAAATGAAAATCAATCAGAATGGAATGAGACCAAAATAAATTGTGTTCAAACATTCTTGTTCAATTATTTGGTCACAATGCTTGATTGCATTCACCCTAATCTTCGAACACGAACCTTCGAATGTGTATATGGTTTATGTGTGTGGGTGAGTGTCACTCTCCCTTGGGTTCGATACTAAAAATGGGAAAAACGTGTGTATGAATGAAAATGTGTGTGTGTGTTTGCAAAAGTGTTCCCCAAACGAAGAGAGACTTGCAAGTGTCGTGTTTTACTTGAAATGAATATTTCAAGGTCATTTCCTCGGGGAAGGAAGGTTGAATTGTAGTGAAGTTGATTTTGTAAAGAAATGAAAAAGTGTAAAATTTTGTAGTTGTGTGTTTTGCTAAGTGAGGATTTTTGATAACATGCAATAAAAACAAGGTTGGCTAATCTGAAAGGGTCATTCCAATGGAAATGTCAAATCAACTTGAAACTTTCTACTATTGGTGTCTCAGTGTTTGATTGATTCATAGGAAGTGAAGGACTAATGTGGAGGTGTAGGCTCAAGCATACCCCGTGACAAGTCTACGGTGTATTAAGAGTTCACAACCACGTCCGCACACAACCTAGTCAAACCAAGCACCTTACACTACGAGGAAGAATGGAGGAGAGTTGATTTAGCATATCTAAGAGAAAATCTCCCTTGGATTAGCTAACTAAAAACTTAGTTACTCATAATGAAAGCAAACACATGCATAATGTAAAGATACATGGTAAAGAAATGAAGATTAAAACTTGTATTAATGCGAATAAAAGTTAAACTACAAAATAAGTTCGTTTCATACCCAACTCAAAAGCTTGAAATGAAAAACTCAAATATAAGCATGGTAGATTCAAGAATACATAACTAAACTTGAAATACACTTGAAATAACTAAGATTAAAATGCAAGAAATGAAGATTACAAGAATATTATATCTTACTACAAGTGAAATGGGTAAGAAAATGAAAAAATTTAACTTCTCACTCTAAAACTATGTCTTCCTCCTTGAGACCTTCTCTCTCTAAAAGCTTCTCTAGCTGAATAATGGTGTAAGGATTCTACATTTTCCTCCATTAGCCCCCTATGGTTTGTGAGAGCAGACTTGCCAACCTTATGAAGTGATTTGACACTTGCACAGGCAAGGACAAGCTTAGCCTGCAACCTAAAATGCCTCTCTTTCTCTTTCTCCCTCATAAATGCACGGGCTTCCCAACCTTATGAAGTGATTTGACACTTGCACAGGCTAGGACAAGCTTAGACTGCAACCTACCATGCTTCTCTCTTTCTCTTAGCCTGCAACCTACCATGCTTCTCTTTTTCTCTTTCCCTACACCAATCCTAGGTATAGGGAGACATGCTTATATGTAGAATATGTCAGGGGATGTGTGGGAAAAGCATAGGTGGGCCCCCCAAGCAAGTAGAATATAAGTTGTAGGTTCTGGCATTTTTCAACAAAACCTATCGGTAGGTCGATGTCAAAACCTACCGGTAGGTTTTGTTCCCGTAAGCAAAACCTTCCAAAAGGTTTGACAGATGATCCAGTAGGTCCAACTCCAGTGTACAAAACCTACGGGTAGTTTTATGAGCAAACCTACCGGTAGGTTTACTTGATTTGCTCATTTCTTGATCTTTTCACCTTCCAAGTCATCCGTTAAGCCTCCCCTTCATCTCCATTGACTTTGAGCACTATGATAGGAGCTTAACTCAAGCCATTTTCAACTCTTTACCTATAATCACACAGAAACTTCATTAATTGTTTGATTAATTGCAGTTCCTCCCATTTCACCGCAAAAGCAAGTATAAAAGGGATACAAAAGTATACATGATGTGCAATATTTTGTGCTAATCAATCACCAAAATAAACTTTTAATCCTTGCTTTGGGGATCATTTGGCTTGGGCGAATTGAAAATCGATCAANATATTTTGTGCTAATCAATCACCAAAATAAACTTTTAATCCTTGCTTTGGGGATCATTTGGCTTGGGTGAATTGAAAATCGA